TATATATATATATATATATATATATATATATCTTTGCTGAGTAGTATTTTTTAAAAATTTAATTCACTGAAATGCTACAAAGATTTATGATTAAAAGTATTAATGAAGAAAATAGAATAAAAATTATTAATTTAGATTTAAATGATGTTTTAAATCTTGCCCCAATCCTTAACTTCTTATTACTACGTGATTAGAGTTGTCAAAACGATTCTTTGTTCGTGTTCGGCTCTCGTGTTCGGCTCGTGTTCGACTCGCTAAGCAAACGAGTCGAGCTCGAACACGCTTTTTGAGCTTGAAATATAAACGAGTCGAATACGAGCTGAGCCTGGGCCTCGTTTACTCCCTGTTATTTTGACCCCCAATTAATGAACTAAGGTAAAAGGGCACTTTTGTAATGTGGTTTCTATAAATAGAGAGGGTGTGAGGCTTAGGAGAGCAAGGGAAGAGATCTTAAGGGTGTGAGGCTTAGGAGAGCAAGGGAAAAGATCTTAAGGGTGTTAGGCTTAGGAGAGAAAGGGAAGAGATCTTAAGGGCGTGAGGCTTAGGAGAGAAAAAGGAGAAGGGATCTTAAGCTACCACAAAATAGGAGAGAATAGCTATAGAGTTAGAGAGGAGGAGAGCATCTTGAGGCTTTGTATCAAGGTGTCGCTTGAGAGGGAGACCATAGAAGGAAGATGAGGGCTCATCTCTATGTATAAGCTATGTATTCTCCATTTCTTTTGCCTTAGTGAACTATTTGATTGATTTCCTCCCGTGGACGTAGATCCAGTTGGATCGAACCACGTAAACGATCTGTGTTTGCTTGTGTTCTTTTTCGTCTCATTTCTATGCCAGGAAGTACATATCTCACAACAATTGGCGTCGTCTGTGGGAAGATCCATACTTTTTGGCTAGAGGTGTCCGCGTAAAGGTGTTCGCGGTCAGCGACGAAGAAGAGGAGTTTGGCATTCACAAACAGACCAAGCGGTTCGCGTCGCAGACAACAGAATCACGACAGATTCGGTGAGCAGTGGAAGCTTTGAACGACTGGATTCGCACCGCAGGTTGTGCGGTTCGGCGAGACGGAGGAGGAACAGTCCGGGAGCGAGGGCCGAGAATTTGCGACAGGACTTCCAGCAAAGGAGTTCGGTCTTGCGAGCAGCTCGGCCACACAGAC